TCGTTTTGTCTTTGTTACTCACTGAATGCTAAGAATAGAACGATGTTTGTTTCGACTTGTGTGTCACCGAATAGAAAGCACCCAATGGGAGCGTCTAGCTCGCAAACAATAGCCAAACGACTTGTACCTTCATACACGATTGACCTCCGGACTCGAGTATCTTCATGTCCGATTGGCTGAAGGGCATTAAGCCGGTGTCGCAGTCATCGTCGAAGACCGAGGGCAATTTCATCTTCGGGTCGTAGTCCGAGTGATGATCCTCCATGGTGGAGACACCAAGAATGTTTAGATCCTCCGTGAGGCTCTGACCGCTCTTTAGATACGGTAACGTCTCGCTCAACAACGACAACGGCGGATGGTTCTTCATTAACAGAGACGATAACGAGGACTGCGAGCTGGCGGACAGGTTCGAGGGATGACCCAAAATGCTCGTTAGATCCTGCTGGTTCGACGTCACTGCCATTACTGGAATCAATAACCATCGACAAGTTATAAGTCGTATGACTGTTTTAAGACCGATTTCTAACGTGTCTCGCGAGACGTCGCTATATAGCGTCGCTAATAAACTTGCGTATACATTTGTTCTTTTTTACATTAACTCGAATTCTTTTAAAATCAATTATTGATTACTTAAATTACAAAAAGGGCTGTGCGTTCTCAAATTGAAAAGTTAGCTCTTACTTGAGAAAATGTGCGCAACGATCGTCCTAAAAAGGACCTTTGTAAATCGTGACATTACGGACGCCAATTCACCTACCGTCGTCGTGCCCGGTGAGAGCGCCATCGCCATCGATAGGCAGCGATTTGGGACCCAGCAGGAGATCGTCGATTTTCGTCTGGGAGAGGAATGTCATGCCATCCACGAAACGATCGTCGAGGCTTTTAGCGTCGAGAATTCTAATGTCTCTATCCTCGAGGATCTCGATGCCGTCCATTGGCATACCGCCGCTGGCAGACCTCTGGCCGGATTCCAGCACCATGATCTGGTTATCGTTGTCGCCGATGATGATATCACCGTTATTGCGTATATTCACGAGATTGATGGCGTCCGCCTGTTCGCCGTCAAGAATCGTTACGTCGTGGGAATTCTGCGCCATTAAGTCGCGGGCCTCGCTGTTCGTCATGACCTGCAGCCATAACGCGCCCCCCCGTAAGGGCATTGAACTGTGTTTAAAGCTTCGTCATGATCGGAATAATTTATTACGATAAGGCGAACTGTGTGACACGTGCGCGAAAATATGATGAAAGTGGATTTTTCGGCAATTCCTACAGTTACAAAAAAAAATCATATTTCTATGTAATAACAAATTATGATTATCTTACCTTGTGATATTATATGCAAAACAAGATCGGTTTAAATCGAGGGCTTAAACGGAGATAGATTCTTTATAAGATTTTAAACAGGATTCTCT